GTCAGGTGGCTGTGTCCAGTCCGGTCGCTGTGTCCAGTCCAGTCGCTGCGTCTTGCTCCTGTCGCTCTCTCGCCCACCGCACCGTCCTGTGGCACCACCGTCTTGGCCACCCGTCGATCCCTCGCCTTCGTGGCATGCTCAGTCAGGGACTAGTCACAGGTCTCCCACGCACCTTCCCATCGCTCCCTCCCTCGCTTGCCCCTCCTTGCTCTCCGTGCGTCGCCGGTCGCTTACGTGCCACTCCCCACTCCTCCTCCCTTCGTCCGGCCACCGCTCCCTTCGAGACTCTCCACTTGGACGTCTGGGGCCCTGCCCCGACGCAGGGGTCTGGGAGGGAGCGCTACTTTCTGGTGGTCGTCGACGACTTCTCCAGGTACACCACAGTGTTTCCTCTTGCGAAGAAGTCCGAGGTGACTGCTACGCTGATCAGGTGGCTTCTAGCCACTGAGGGCACTCGTGGTCGTCGAGTCAGTTGTCTTCACTCCGACCGTGGGGGCGAGTTTCGCTCCGGCATTCTCGGCGGATTCTGCGGCGAACAGGGCATCACCCAGTCCTGGACGCTGCCAGAGTCCCCACAGCAGAATGGGGTTGCTGAGCGCCGCATAGGCTTGGTCATGGACATCGCCCGCACGTCCATGATTCATGCCCGTGCGCCCCATTTTCTGTGGCCTCACGCGGTTCGCTACGCCGCACACCAGCTGAACCTCCAGCCGCGTGTCTCGCGGCCCGAGGCTTCACCGACCAGTCTCTGGACTGTATCCCCTGGTGTTGGGTCGGCCTTTCGAGTCTGGGGCTGCCTTGCACTTGTTCGCGACACCTCCGCGGACAAGCTCTTGGCACGCGCCGTCCCCTGTGTCTTCCTTGGTTTCCCAGTGGACTCTGCTGACTGGTCCTTTTACCACCCTCCCCTCCACCAGTTCCTAGATTCCCGTGACGTCCGGTTTGACGAGTCCGTGTCCTACTACACCCGGTACCCCTGTCGAGGTCTCCCGGTACCCCCTCCCCCTCTCTTCCTCGCACCCTCTCCTCCTCCTGCTCCCGCTCCTCCGGTACCCCCGCCCCCCCCTGGTCCTGCCCCGTCTGGTGTGTCCCACGCTACCCCTCTCCCCTCGGTCGTGCGTCAGGTAGCGTCTCCCTCCCCGCAGTCCTCCTCACAGTCCCCTCAGCAGCCTTCGGCACTTCCGCGACAGGTTACTGTGGACTCGGTTGGTGTTGGAGCTGGAGGTGCAGCCGCTGGCGGTGCTCGGTCGCGGGGTACTGGAGCTGGAGGTGCTGGCGCAGGTGACGCTAGCTCTGGGGGTGCTGGAGCTGGAGGTGCTGGCGCAGGTGGCGCTAGCTCTGGGGGTGCTGGAGCTGGAGGTGCCGGCACTGGAGGTGCTGGTTCTGGGGGTGCTGGAGTTGGGGGTGCTGGCACTAGCGGTGCTAGTTCTGGGGGTGCTGGAGTTGGAGGTCCTAGCACTGGCGGTACTGGTTCTGGGGGTGCTGAGTCTGAGGAGACTGACGCTGGAGACCCTGGTTCTGCGGAGTCCAACCCGCCCCCCCACCGCCACGACACGCGTCTCCAGGCTGCCCGTCGGCGTGAGCGTGAGGAGCAGGAGCGGTTGGAGAGGGAGCGGCAGGAGCTGCGGGTGCTGGACCTTCTGGAGCAGCAGCGGCAGCAGCAGCAGCAGCAGCAGCAGCAGCAGCAGCAGCAGCAGCAGCAGCAGCAGCAGCAACAGCAGCAGCCGCAGCCGCAGCCGCAGCCGCAGCCGCAGCCGCAGCAGCAGCAGCAGCCGCAGCCGCAGCCGCAGCGGCCGCAGCCGCCACCGCAGCTTCCTCTAGAGCGGCGGTTGTTCCCACCTGTGAGTGGCTTGCGGGCCCTTGGCCTTTCCTCCTCTCCTCCTGTCCGCTCCCTGTCTCCTCCTGTGTTTGTTCCTCCGTTGCCTCCTCCTGACGACCGTCCGGCGGTCTGGTCTTCTCCTCCTCCTCAGTCTCCTCCTCCCTCTGTCCGTCGCGACTTGATCACTCGTTGTCCTCCGCGTGCTCGTCACTCGTCCCCTGTTACTGACCTCCACACTGCCCTCCTTTGTTCGTCTCGTCGTCGTTCTCCTTCTCCTGTGTCCGTTCTCCCGTCTCCTCCTCCGTCCTCTCTACCTGCCCTCCCCACTCCTATCTCTGACTACTACCGCGCTGTTCGTCCTGTTGCCGCACGTGTCCTCACCACTCTTGTCACCGACCCTCGTTTCCCTCCGTCGTCTGTCTCGGCTCTCACTGCCGCTGTCGCTGAGTTTGCTGCCGCCAGCCGCCTTGACTACGCCACCCGTGTGGTGCCAGCTCCTCCCTACCGTCCTCTGTCCGTCGGGGGTGGGTTTGCCCTTGGCTGTGACGTCCTAGAGGACAGAGAGTCTGAGCTGGAGTACTGGGCAGCCGCTTCTCCCTCTGTGTGTGCCATGCTGCTCTCCCCTGAGGGAGACCCCGACGCCCTTGACATACCGACTCCTCGCACTTACCGCGAGGCAGTGTCAGGGGCGTGGGCCTCTCAGTGGAAAGCGGTTATGGACTCAGAGTTGGCGTCTTGGAGATCCACAGGCACCTACGTCGACGCAGTTCCCCCTCCCAGGGCGAACGTAGTCGATGGCATGTGGCTCTTCAAGGTGAAGCGGCCGCCTGGAGCACCGCCGGTGTTCAAGGCGCGCTACGTGGCTAGGGGTTTCAGTCAGCGTGAGGGAGTTGACTTCTTCCAGACCTTCGCCCCGACCCCGAAGATGACTACTCTTCGGGTGTTACTCCACATAGCAGCGCAGCGAGACTACGAGCTGCACTCCCTCGACTTCTCCACTGCGTTCCTCCAGGGCCGACTGCACGAGGAGATCTGGCTGCGCCGTCCTCCTGGCTTCACTGACACCTTCCCACCTGGGACCCAGTGGAGCCTGAGGCGACCAGTCTACGGTCTCCGCCAGTCGCCCCGTGAGTGGCACGACACTCTTCGCTCCACGCTTTGTGACCTTGGGTTCAGCCCGTCCTCCGCCGACCCGTCGCTGTTTGTTCGAGCGGGTTCTACTCCTTTCTTTATCCTTGTCTACGTCGACGACTTGGTGTTTGCTACAGCAGACAGGGCAGCCCTGGCTCAGGTGAAGTCCGAACTGCAGAAGAGACACAAGTGCACTGACCTGGGTGAGCTGCAGCGCTACCTTGGCCTGCAGATCACCCGGGACAGAGCCGCTCGCACCATCACACTGACGCAGTCACACATGGTGCAGCAGGTCCTTCGGCGGTTCCACTTCCAGTTCTCCACCACACAGCCCACTCCTCTTGCTGTTGACCACAGACTTACGGGCCCCTTTCCTGACGAGCCCTTTGAGTCCAGTGGACCCTACGCAGAGCTGGTGGGCTGCCTCATGTACCTGATGACTTGTACTCGACCGGACCTCGCCTTTCCACTCAGCATCCTTTCTCGCTTTGTTGCGACTGGGAGACACCGCCCTGTCCACTGGACAGCTGCTGTGAGGGTGGCGAAGTACCTGGCGACTACATCAGGCTTGGGGCTTGTGCTTGGAGGGACTCAGCCAGTGGCGTTGACTGGTCACTGCGACTCTTCCTACGCTGACGACGTGGAGACTCAGCGTTCGACTCAGGGTTACTGCTTCAGTCTGGGAGCTGGTGCTGTGTCGTGGAGGTCTACACGGTCGTCGTCTGTGGCTACTTCCAGTGCAGAGGCAGAGATCTACGCTGGTGCCATGGCGGCACAGGAGCTTCGCTGGTTGACCTTCTTGCTCGCTGACCTTGGTGAGCGGCCTCGCTCTGCCATGATCCTCCTGTGTCGAGAGCCTCGACTGGAGAGCAGAGTGAAGCATATTGACGTGAGGTACTTCCTCCTGCGAGAGCTGCAGCGACGCGGTCAGGCACGCCTGGACTTTGTGGCCTCAGAGGCCAACACTGCAGACGTCTTCACCAAGGCCTTGGCGCTTGGTGACCACCACAGGTTCTGTGTGCAGTTGGGGCTTGTTGAGGTAGGCCCTCGGTTGGTGTAGTCCTGTTGCTTGCTCTGCTTGTTGTGCTTTGTATTTATATCCTAGTGAACTCTTGAACTGGCCTTGTGGCCGCTTGCTTGCGCTCGGAATTTGTGTGGTGTCCTTGAGATCCACCCTGAGCTTGCCTTGGTTCTTGGTTTGACTGGTCTTGTGACCGTTTGTTCACCTTGCTTGCTTTGATGCCCCTCACTTAGCCTATGGGGGTGTGTCAAATGTTGAACATTGATATGATAGGCTATAATGAGTTGCACTCTAGGGGGTACAGCTTCTAGGGTTGCTCATTTGTACCCCATTCGTTTCTATTCCAATCATTCCGTTGTTCGCTAACTTTGAGAGTGTGCGTTTCATGGCTGAATTGGTATTTCTTTTGCTACTGTTGCACTCTGAGGCGTAGCTTGTGTGGGTGTGGGGCCCCTAGGGTATCTTGTCATGGATGGAAGGCATGAATTGTTTGACAAAGAATCACTATTTCATTGTGACATTTTGAACAAAACTGGTATGGTGCCTGAATTGTAGGAAAGGAACAAATTCAGGAGTTAATGGACCTTATTTTGGCGTGACCAGCCTTTTTTTTTTTTTTAGCAGCTGGTACCACTACACAGTTACCTTAGTTGTGTTATGTTAAGTGCGAAGCTGTTAGCACTAAAGCCATAAGTGTATGTAATTACTAGATATGAACGAACTAGGTATTGTTATGATTAAAATTAACAAAATGATGCAACCTCCCGCTTTAGTGTCTGAAGTTGGTTAGTGCAGTACGTATCCTGAACCTGTGGTAGGAACAACACCAGTAACTGCAGCAGCACCACTACCTGCCAGCCTCCCTCCCACTGACGACAGTCAACCACCTGTTCATTTGAGAGCAGTACAACGCCCAGACACTCGACCAAGCCACAGAGTACAAGCTACATACCACGACCCATCAGTGAAGCACGCACACTGCAGATAAAATCCCATGTCGCTTGTGCGATGTCTCGACCAATATTGCTCTCACGACGCCGTAGTGATTCCCTCCATAGCAGATACGCCAGCATTCACAGCAACAGCAGACACACCCCCGGCAGCAACACCAGTAGCAGCTGCCACCACTGCACTGCTCTGCCCAGAAACCTCCATAGCACCGGCGTTCAGCACTCCTGTTGCTGCCCCAACATTCTTGTCAGTCTCACTCTCTCCTCCCCCCCCTCCCGCACTAACACTGCTACCTGCTGCCGTCACCCCTATTCCTCCTGCTGCTACCCCACCACCTGCAGCACGTTCTGCCCCACGCTCCTCCACCTCTTCCATTTTCACACATGGGGATCTCACTCCCCCGTCTCCTCCTGGTGCTGCCGCCGCCGCTGCTCTTGCTGCTAAGGTAGGGGAGGCAGAGGCACCTGCTCCTGCTGACACTGCTGCTGCTGCTGCTGCTGCCCCTCCTCCTCCTCCTGCCACAACCACTCCTGCTGGTGCTGGCACAGGCGACCCAGTTTGACCCCCACCAACTCCCCTAGAAGGTGAATCACCAGCTGCAGGCAATGTAGCCACTCCCATGCCTCCTGTTCCTGCACCAGTGGACCCACCAGCAGCACCAGGACTCATGGCAGGAGCAGCCTGACTGGTAAGAGTAGCTGCAGCAACTGGGGTGGGAGACCCAGCGGCAGCAGCGGCAGGAGAAACAGGTGCTGCCACAGCTGCAGGGGCAAGAGCAGGAGAGGAATCAGGAGCTGATGTTGCTGCTACTCCCCTTCCTGCTACAGCTGTTGGTCCCGTCATCTGTATAGAGCCAACCTTCACATCCATGTCGCCTTCCCCACCATCTCCCCCTCCTCCTCCCCACTCTCCTCCTCCGCCACCGCCCCCTCCTCCTCCCCCTCCTCCTCCCCCTCCTCCCTCCCCTCCTCCTCCCCCCCCACCTCCTCCTCCTCCCTCCCCTGCACCACCCCCCTCACCACCTCTCTCCTCCCCCCCACCTTCCCCTTTCCCCTTGGACATCATATTGGCTAGCCCCAGAGGCATGAGGCACAGCCCCTTGCTCTGCAGGTACTGCATCGCTGCCCCCATGTCCTGCTCCATTAATAATGCCACCTGCAATACAGCAAGCACGATAGAGGGAGGATTCACAGCGGTGGACAGGCAAACAAGACCATATAAGAAGCAAGCCATGAGGCATAGAGACCCTTGCTCTGCAGGTACTACATTGCTGCCCTCATATCCTGCTCCATCAGCTATGCCATCTGCAAGAACGACAGAGACAGGTACACAGGTAAACAACAGCCGATTAGGAGGAAGGCACAGGTATTGCAGACAGGTATTGCAGACAGGTATTGCAGACAGGTATTGCAGACAGGTATTGCAGACAGGTATTGCATGGATGCTCCCATATCCCGCTCCATCAGCCATGCCATCAGCAATACAGCAAGTTACAAGCAGGAGTGCGCACAGGTATGAGGGCAACCCACGTTTACGGTAGCTTACCCGTCGTTTACGGTAGCTTACCTGTCGTTTACGGTAGCTTACCTGTCGTTTACGGTAGCTTACCTGTCGTTCTGGGAAACTCACCTCGTGTTCAGTGCAGCTCAATCATCGATTGAAGTGACTCACCTATCCTTTCAGCCAACCCACCTGTCGTTCCATAAGAGTAAGCTCCTGCTGGGAGAAGGATGAGAGACCATCGTCGATTTCCTGCAGCAACGAGCACCGGGGCAGCAGCAGCAAAAGGAAGAATCACGAGCAGGAGCAAAGGAGAATTAGATGAAGAAGCAAACAAGGGAGCAGCAGGAGCACGGGGGGAGAAGGAGCAGGAGCAAGCAAGGGAGCAGAAGGATGGGGAAAGCAGAACCCAAGGAAGGGGCAGAGGAGTGGGACACTAAGACTAGTTGTTCATTAACCTCCCCACACCTCCCCATACGTCTACTTCCCCACACCTCCCCACACCTGTGCATACCTCGGGGTTCAAATCAGCAAGCAGAGTGACCACGGCGTCTGCTGCAGGGCCTGCCAGGCGGTTCAAATTGAGCACCTGTAAAGGGGGGGAGGAGTGGAAGAGCGAGAGGAGACGAGAGGAGGGCGAGAGCATCGGGAGAGGAGGGCGAGATGAGGAAAGAAGAGCACATCCTGAGGAGCCCGGACGAGAGTGAGCAGGCCATTGATTGCTGGGACGGTCACAAGGCTCGATCGAGAACCTGAAAATGGCGAGAGCACTTGACACAGCTCACATCCAGCATCGATGCCTTGTCCACCCGATTGGAGAGAGAGGAGAGAGGCAGAATGGTGGGGAGAGAAAGAGCGGGAGGAGGAGAAAACGGCAACCGCCCACCTTTTGAAATTCAAAGAGGCGTGGCGCACCCACCATGACCTGAATAGAGGCGCACCCACCTTGACCTGCAGTTGCAGGAACTTGACATAGTCGATTATGTCATCCAGCATTGACGCCTTGTCCACCCGATTCGAGTTGGGCACCAGGTCCTGCAGCGCCCTCATGCGCTCCGCTATGCGCTCTCGGCGCAGCTGCATGAGGGAAGGAGGGAAAGGGGGTTTGGAGGCGGAGCTGGTGAACAAGGAGCGTGTATAAGAGGGAAACAGTGGAGCTGGTGAACAAGGAGCGTGTATAAGAGGGAAACAGTGGAGCTGGTGAACAAGGAGCGTGTATAAGAGGGAAACAGTGGAGCTGGTGAACAAGGAGCGTGTATAAGAGGGAAACAGTGGAGCTGGTGAACAAGGAGCGTGTATAAGAGGGAAACAGTGGAGCTGGTGAACAAGGAGCGTGTATAAGAGGGAAACAGTGGAGCTGGTGAACAAGGAGCGTGTATAAGAGGGAAACAGTGGAGCTGGTGAACAAGGAGCGTGTATAAGAGGAAAACAGTGGAGCTGGTGAACAAGGAGCGTGTATAAGAGGGAAACAGTGGAGCTGGTGAACAAGGAGCGTGTATAAGAGGGAAACAGTGGAGCTGGTGAACAAGGAGCGTGTATAAGAGGGAAACAGTGGAGCTGGTGAACAAGGAGCGTGTATAAGAGGGAAACAGTGGAGCTGGTGAACAAGGAGCGTGTATAAGAGGGAATCAGTGGAGCTGGTGAACAAGGAGCGTGTATAAGAGGGAAACAGTGGAGCTGGTGAACAAGGAGCGTGTATAAGAGGGAATCAGTGGAGCTGGTGAACAAGGAGCGTGTATAAGAGGGAAACAGTGGAGCTGGTGAACAAGGAGCGTGTATAAGAGGGAAACAGTGGAGCTGGTGAACAAGGAGCGTGTATAAGAGGGAAACAGTGGAGCTGGTGAACAAGGAGCGTGTATAAGAGGGAAACAGTGGAGCTGGTGAACAAGGAGCGTGTATAAGAGGGAAACAGTGGAGCTGGTGAACAAGGAGCGTGTATAAGAGGGAAACAGTGGAGCTGGTGAACAAGGAGCGTGTATAAGAGGGAAACAGTGGAGCTGGTGAACAAGGAGCGTGTATAAGAGGGAAACAGTGGAGTTGGGGGGCACCAGGTCCTGCAGCGCCCTCATGCGCTCCGCTATGCGCTCTCGGCGCAACTGGCAGATGGGGGGAGGGGGCGGGGTGGGCGGGGGAAGGGGATGGACGAAGGTGCGTAAATGAGAAGTCACTCGAGTTGGGCACCAGGTCCTGCAGGGCCCTCATGCACTCTGCTATGCGCTCTCGGCGCACCTGATAGATTGGGCATAGGGGAAGGCAGACGGAGGGACAGACGGGGCAGGTGGTTGGAAACAGAGGGTGCAGAGAGATGCAGAACGAAGGTGCACGATGGGAGCAGACGTCATAAATCCCCCCTCTCCCTTCGCTCGCTCCCCCCTTCCCTCCCTCCCCCCCTCCTTCCCTCCCTCCCTCCTCCCCCCCCCTACCTCCTCCCTCCCTCCTCCCTCCCTCCCTCCCTCCAATCCTCCCTCACTCACTCTCTCTGCAATACTGTGAGGGTCCGTTGCTTGCCCTCGTCTCGCCCTCGCCCTGGGTTTCCCCCCTCCCCCCCCTCCCCCTCCTCCGCCTCCCCCTCCCCCTCCGCCTGCACTCCCGCCCGCTCCCCCGCTCCCCTGCGCGCCTCCCCCCACTCCCCCCGCGCCAGCACTCGACTGGGACGGCATGAGAGAGGGAGGGGCGGCGCCGGCGGCCGGATTTGTCTGCATCTGAGTGTGCGGCTGGGGTAGAGAGCTGGGCGGCTGTGACATCCCTTGGTGGAAAGAGGAGGAGGAGGATTGCAAGGGGGGCTGCTGATGCTGATGCGACTGCTGGTGCTGCTGCGGATGAGGGGAAGGCGCGTGGTGGGACATGGGGGGCGGTTGCTGCGGCTGCAGGGGACCCGCACGTTGCGGTGGCACGGAGTTGGGGTGCTGCTGGCCTTGCATGGGCGGCGGATTTGATACGAGCCCGTTGAATGCCGGGGCTGGCGGGGTGTCCTGAGCCTGGCAATGCGAAAAGACGGGGAAGAGCAAGGGGAAACGGGGAGGGTAGTGGGGGAACGGGGAGGTAAGGAGAAAGCGAGAAGGAGAGAGAGGTGGGGTAAGTGGAGGGGTGGATCAAACGATTTTGTTGAGCGCTGGGGAGGGAGACAAGGAGAGGCGAGAAAGGGAGGGGGAAGCGGTGATTAAGGGAATGGGAGGGGAAGAGGTAGACGGGGGTGGGGGACGGGGACGAGGTAGTTATGGGACCTTCATTAGCAAGCTATAGTGGGAGAATGGTGGAGACAACTCAATATCTGCTTTGAAACATCTCAAATTACGTCAAAGAGTAAAATCCTAAAACTCACATGCGGTTGCTGTCGGAACTGAGGCACCTTCAGACCCATCCCGGGACCCACTCCCACCCCCTCCCCAACCCCGTTATGAGGCGCCTCAAAACTGGTCAAAAGGTGGAATGAAAGAACTCACATGTGGTTGCTGCCGGAACTGAGGCACCTTCAGACCCATTCCGGGCCCCACTCCCGCTCCCCCTCCCGCCGGCCCCACTCCCCCTTGCGGACCCAACATCTGCCCCCCCTGTCCGGGGGGCACTCCCCCCGGTCCCCCCGGCGCAGGGCCCCCCGGACCAGGGGGAGCCACTCCTTGCGCGCCTGGCGCCCCCGCGGGAGCGCCAGGTCCGCCAGGCCCCGTCGGGCCTCCGCCAAGTCCCCCCGCGGGAGCTCCGCCGGGGGGGGCTCCGCCGCCTGCGCCGCTAAGTCCGAATCCCGCCGCCACGCTCGTCAGCAGCGAGCCTTGCGCTGCGCGCTGCTGCAGCAGGCGCAGCAACGTGGCGTCGTCTAATTGGCCCGCCAGCAGCGCCACCTGCGCCTGCACGTCCGCGGGCTGCTGTTGCTGCGCGGAAGCAGGCGCGCCGGGGGCTCCCCCTGCGCCAGGAGCTGCGCCGGGGGGAACGGGGGAGACACCCATGGGGCCGAGGAGGCCCGCCGTTGCGAGAATGCGCTGGCCGGGCGTTGCGCCCTGAGTGTGGGGGAGGGGCGAGGGAGATGGGGAGGGGGGGGGGGAGGAAAGGAGGGTGAGAGGGGGGAGGAGGGGGAAAGAGAAAGCTAAGTAAAGGGAAAGCGAGGTGAGCGGAGGGGTATGGCGGGATCGACATCAAGGGGGGTGGGTTCGTGCAGGCCCGCCGTTGCTAGAAAGGGCTGGCCGGGCGTTGCGGCCTGAGAGTGGCCAAGGAACGGGAATGGGGTAGAGGAAGGGGAGAGAGGCGAGAGAAAGGAAGGTGACGGAAGTGGGTGTGGTGAGCGGAGCGGAATGGCGGAATCCATATCAGGAGAATTCGAATCTTGTATGAATCCGCATCTGAACAAACCGACTTATGCACATCCGTTTATGGCACATACTGAGGCTATCCCTGGCGGCTAAGGGCAAAGATGCCTTTCGCAAACGTTACAAAAGTGGAAGTGGAAAGAGTTCCACGGATTGTTCAGTGTATAAAAAACAGCAGAATAACAAACGATGAAGACTTGCCTGATAAGAGCCAAAGTTTTCCGACATTCCTTGACCAGAGGAGGCATTCCCGCTGTTCCAGTTCTGTTGTTGCGGTTGCTGCTGCTGCGGCTGGAACTGTTGTTGTTGCTGCTGCTGTTGCATGTACGGTTGTTGCTGCTGCTGCGGTTGCTGTTGCTGGGGTTGCTGTTGATACGCCATCTGTTGTTGCTGCGGCTGCTGCTGCTGCTGCTGGTATTGCTGGGACTGTTGCTGCTGCTGAGGAGGCTGGTATTGCTGCTGACCTGAGTGTTGGTTGTAACCGTCCATTGATACTTGACGATTAAGCCACTTTCGATTGACTTGGAAAGTAGATTATAAGAACACGCAGTCAGAAAATAGTTCAGGACAATAGTACCCTTTTAACCGCTTTCCGTTCCCAAATCGGGAACGTTTTTAACCTAAACGCGAGAGCCAAGACCAAGCGTGCGAGCATACGCGAATGCTCGAGCATACAGACACGGGAAACCTCTTACTACTAATTGATTTGAGAGGATTCTGAGAATAAATGATCAAAACAGGGCTCTTGCGACTTGTTCATTCAACAGAATCCTAAATATAAGCGGTGGAAGAGAGTTTTGAGAGACTTCACGAGGTGTAGAGCCATCCCGCAGAAGGGACTCTAAGTACTTCTTAAAAAGCACTTATTATCCAATGAAGTCATTCCTACAACTGAACGCTGGCAGCTGGTTAGGGTTGATGCGATGGCGATAAGGGAGCGCCAGAGGGAGGAGGTGGATGATGGATAGGTGAGGTCAGTAGATAATGGCGGGAGAGCTGGAGAGGTGAGGAATCTGAGAGGCACAATGACTGAGAGAGGTAATTTGGAGGTACACATGATGCTCACCTCCTGCACGCGAAATTGCCTTGCCCCGGATGGAAACCTCGCACCCGTGGGTTTTGTGCCGTGAGGTTGCACCCACGGTACAAGCACGTCGACCAATAGAAACCACAGAAACTGAAGTCTGACTGAAGAGACTGCAGTCAGAAAGTCAACGGTGAGTTACAAAAGTTTTTTATAAGCCCTTTTTGCCCGAAGCGAATTGACGAAACCTCCACGAAATGCAAGAATCGCTTATACGCCCAGAGGGTAAGGCAAGGTCGGGGGGCTCAACCGGGCATCATGTGTAATGAAATCGGAGAAGAGAAGTGGGGAAAACGGACCAGACGGACTTGGGACAATCCCGATGGGGTTCATTAAAGTTTTGTCACGGTTGAACACGGTAAAGTTGGATCATCGCTTTTGAGCGCATCACATCGAACACAACCGTGCTACATCGAATTGGGAAAAGAACATACCATAGCAGCCCAAACAGAAATGTCAGGAGAAACTCTGATGGGTTACTGTAGTCATGTTATGCGTCGCGGGGTTCTGGTTCTGGGTCTAACGGTTGGCTCGGTGGTGCTGACGCTGAAATCAGCTCGTCACAGACGGTCACGACTTTACAACCTGCCCAAAAACAACATGGCACTACCACCTGGTTTGATTGTCGGAACGTGTAGCTAATTCACACGGTTGTGATTGGTTGGAAGATGTAAATGACACCGAAAGGATGACCGACATGCGTTGTTGTGGTTAAGGTTAGCCCGTCTGGAGACGGCGACCGTCAGCTAGCGAATGAAGTGTCCTTGTCGTTTTCCATAGCCGGGTTCGCTAGCCCCACCCCATGCAAATTTCCACCAGGCTGGGAAAGGAAAGGACTGCCTGCCATTATCATTTCAAGGGAGAAGAAAAGGAGGCAGTTTCCGTTTCGTTTCTTCCCGCCATTTCCCAGCGCCTCGACCACCACAGACGCGTGTCAGACGCAACCACAAGACCCAGCAGTAAAGTACAAAGCTTGAAAGCTACACCATAGATATATATACCCTACATAGTTATCCTGCTTTCAAAATTAGTAACCCTAGAAGTTAAACAGATGCGTCTATCAATCATGCATGCTACTTAACCATAAAAATATTGAACTATCTATGATGTTGTCTCTTGACTTTTCACACTACTGAAACCTGGAAAGCATACCGTAAATATCAAAAGATAGAAGATTTTTTTGTTGATTTAAAATACAGTGACTTACAGAACCATCCATGTGGTCTAGGTGGTTGAGAGCATGTTTCGTACTCAACGGAGTTTCCTGGGCCTCGATAACAGTTTCTACTACCTGACCCGACCTGACCAATATCGCAACCTACTTTTCGCCTGAGTCCCTATTGTTTCTCTCTCGAACCGCGGAAATTCGGTAGTTCATGATTGCTTGTTTGCCTCTTGCCACGACTGTGTGTTTCGCCATAATGTTAGCCGAGTTAAGTTAGTCAATGCGATCGTGTAATCGCGATCTCAACGATCCGCCGTGTCGCCACTCCCCATGGCGGGCCCTCGCTCCTCCCAACGATCGACCGTCTCCTCCCGCTCCACCACCCCCCACGCCGCATCTTCCGGCACAAACTCCGGCGCCAATTTCGGCGGATCCTCTGCTTCCGCGTCCCCATCCTTCCTCTCCCGCGCGTTTCCCGCGTTGGCAGCGTCGCTTCTCGCGCTAACGGCTGTCGTCTTTGCGTTCACCTACTCGAGGCCGTCGCTTGGGCGATGCGACGTACTCCAGCTGCAGCTCATGGGACGAAAGGTAAGGTTTGAGTCAGAATCTTAGGTCGACTCAACAGTCACCTCGTCGTCTTTGCGTTCACCTACTCGAGGCCGTCGCTTGGGCGATGCGACCTACTCCAGCTGCAGCTACTGGCAAGAAAGGTAAGGTCTCGTACAACTTTTGAGGCCCCTCAAAAGTGCGACTTACTCCAGCTGCAGCTGCTGGGACGAAAGGTAAGGTCTCGTTCAAGATGAATAAAGGTGATGACTTTTGCGAAAGGTCTCAGCTGTTGCATGTTCCAAGCCAGGTGACGACTGAGTTTGACGACTGAATCGACATGTGACTTAGCATTTGAGTCGACATTTGAATCAACCTAAAAAATGAGCTTTGGTACTCCTTCCTGCTGTATGATCTCAGCCAGGCAGAGAAAAGCACTGAAATTTGTCCCTCTACTTTGTTCATGTTTTTTTTTTTCTTTGCTGTATTTGCTTTTTATTCTACGTTGCAGCAGGGAGACGACCTGGGGAAGCACCTGAAAGTGCTGGAGAAGCAGGTAGGTTGAACAAGTGCGTGGACTGGATGAGTGGCTGGGGTGGGGTGGGGTGGGGTGGGGTGGGTTGGGGTGGGATGGGCTGGGCTGGGGTAGGTGGGGTGAGTGGGTGGGTGAGAGGTATGGACCTGCGTGACGTGGGTGGGTGAGGTAATGCGCTGCTCGTGTGTCCTGCTCCTGCCGCTGCCTCCCTCCTTTCCCCTTTGCTCCTCATTCTGCCCCTCGTTCTGCCCCTCCTTATGCCCGCCTTTTTACCCCTCGCCCCACGTTTTGCTTCTGCCCCCCCCTCTGCCTCTGCCACTGAAACTTCTTCCTCCTCCTTCCCCTCCTCCCCTCCCGCTGCCTCTGTCTCTCCTCTCCCCCCTCTTTCCCTATCCCACTCTCATCCCTCTCCCTCTCCCCTTCCCTCCCCCACTCGCTTCCCTCTCCCCCTCCTCTCCCCCTCCCCATCCCTCCAGATGAATTACAACAAGAAACTCGTGGGAGCACTACAGGCATCTCTCGCCAAGTTGACTGTGAGTGTGTGTGTGGAGTGAGTGAATCAGTGAGCTGATGTGAGAGCAGCTACAGGAACCAGTCAATACTTACCGGTGCCTCTCATCTCATTCGTGTGTGTCAAGTCAACCATTTGCTCTCCTCTTCACCATTCCCATAATGCTATTTGTGCCCTTACCCCATTACCCCCCCTCCCCCAACCCCATTCCCGCCTCCCTCCTTTACTCTCCATTGCATCTATTGTATCTCCTATCCTTTTCCCCCATTTCGTCCCTCTCCCTTCGTGCTCCTCCTCCCCTCCACTTTTCCCTTTCCTCTCTTCTCCCTCTTTTTCTCCCCTTTTCTTGGTTCGATTTCCCTCGTTCTTTGTGGATTCTCTCTCCCGTGTGCAGGCTGCTGACTCAGCAGCGGCGGCAGAGGCCGACACGTCAACGCCTGCTGACGTGGCAATCCCTGGGAACGCCAGCACGCGCCAGCTGGTCGAGCTGGCAGCGCGACAGGTGGCGGATGAAGTCCGGGCATCAATGGAGGAAACGGTGAGTTTCTTTTCTCAACAGATACAGATCAGTACGTGAGGTTCACTGTTGGAATGGAATGTGTACTGTTCACGCTTCTTTTTGCCACCGCAAGTTTGCTCTCTTGAATGCCTAAACTTGATATCTTTATGACTGTGTGGCGGGTGAACTCCGGGCATCAATAGAGGAGACTGTGAGGTGCTCATTTCACGGATTTATATTTGAGGTTGACTGTTCCGGCTTCGAAGTGCCTTTCCTGCCTGCCTTGCCTGCCTGCCTTGCCTGCCTGCCTTGCCTGCCTGCCTGCCTGCCTGCCTGCCTGCCTGCCTGCCTGCCTGCCTGCCTGCCTGCCTGCCTGCCTGCCTGCCTGCCTGCCTGCCTGCCTGCCTGCCTGCCTGTCTGTTTGTCTTTCTGCCTGCCCCACATGCCGGGCTTCACCCCCCTCAACCCCACAGGACCTTGCACGTTTGCGGGACGTCATAGGAGCTACAGTGCGCAGAACAGGCAAATGGACCGCCGCCCTTGCCGCCCGCTCCTGCCCCCAATGCCCCGACTGCTCCCTCACTCCGCCGTCCACAATCGGCCCCGTCTGCACTGTGCCGGGATTCGTCAACTGCAGCTGCCCGAGCGGGCACTCGGGCAGGCGAAAGTTTCCGAAGCAGACCGAGAAGCCGCTGTGCACAGACGGCTCGTCGCCGGGCAGGTGGAAAAGCTACAGCCAATGGGAGGCCGACAACTGTCAGTACAGAGAGATTTCGACGGACAGCCTTAGGGAATGCCTGAAGGGGAAATGGATACACTTTTTTGGAGATTCCCTCTCGCGGTTACTTGCGAAGGAGTTTGGGCGGCAGTGTGGCATGCAGCGAAGGTCGTGGGATGGGGACAAGGCTAGAAGCACTTTGCTGGATACCCGGGCTGATCAGCAGATGGCAGAGGGGGGGAAGGGGGGCGGTGGGGGGAGAAGGAGGAGATTGACAGGTGGTGTTGATACAGATGGGGGGAGAGGAGGAGGAGAAGGAGTGGATCAGTCATGGTATGGTGTGGAGGGAGGGGAGGTGGAGGGAGGGGAGGTGGAGGGAGCAGAGGTGGAGGGAGGGGAGGTGGAGGGAGGGGAAATGGAGGAGTGGGAGGTTCCTCAGGAGGAGCTGGAAAATGGAGGAGAGGAGGAGAGTGTGAGTGAGGGTGTCGGGGAGGACGAGAGGAGGGCGGGCGGCAGGCGGCGGCTGCTTATGTCGCGAGACGAGTGGCCGCGGGTGACTTATCTGTTCCGAGGCAAGATGGCTCATCAGAGGCACCCGGAGGTGGGTGCAGGATGAAGCAGTGCGTTTGATGTATGCATACCTCTCCCCCCTCTCAACCCCTCTCCACCCCTCTTCGCCCCTCTTCACCCCTTTCACTCGTCCTACAGGAGAACGCCACAGAGGAGCGGGATCTGAACAACAAGTTTCTCGAGTCGTTCAAGCAGCCAGGGGGGCAGCAGCCTGACTTCCTCATCATGAGCATTGGAGCGCACGAGGTGAGGCATGGCATTGGGGCGCACGAGGTGAGGCATGGGGACACGTGGGTGGGTGGGATGAGTATGGCGCACGAGGTGAGGTGAGAATGTGGACGGGGAGAAGGGTGGGGCAGCAGCTAGGGGGATAGCATGCAGGGGGCAGCAGCCCCTACAGCGTGTTTTGAGACGTCTCAAAACACGGAAAGCATGCAGGGGGCAGCAGCCCCTACAGCGCGTTTTGAGACGTCTCAAAACACGGATAGCATGCAGGGGGCAGCAGCCCCTACGGCGGCCAAGAGGGATCTACTGCTGCATCTGCTACAGCTAATCGTTACCGTGTGTGGTAAGGCAGATGGCTGGCCAATCTCCTGGCCAATCACCTGGCCAATCACCTGGCCAATCCCCTTCCCCTGCACTCTCCTGCTCCCTGACTAACAGGTGACTGGTTGGAATTGACGCCCTCCACCTGACCTGGATATAGCCTCGTTCAAGAAAGACACGGAGGAGCTGCTACAGCTGCTACAGCTGCCGCAGCTGCTACAGCTATTGTTCAAACACCCCATTGCCCTCTCCCTTGCACTCAACTTTCTGACGGCAGGTCATCGGGTGGAATCGCCGCCCGCCTCCAGATCTGGATGTGGCGACGTTCAAGAAAGACACAGAGGAGCTGCTACAGCTGCTGCGAGCGAGCTACAACCGGGATAAGGGCATGCTGCTGTGGTGGAAGGCGCACTATATTTGGCCCGGTGAGTGATTGTTCAGTTGCGCTGACAGGCACTCTTGTTGCAAGTGTTGTCCAGATATGATTCTCTGTATGGTGTTTAGTTTCGCTGCATTACGTTGGTGTTGTTACTGAATGTCGCCCTTGTCATGACGGTCCCCTACTGACCTGACCTCTCATCTACCCAATCCTCTTCTCCTCACGTCCCACCATAAACAGGCAAGGTTACTGGACAAGACTATTTCACAGTGCGACAATACCATGAAATATATCAAGATTATTCCTACAAAATATTTCAAGAGGAAGGCTACACTACTGCAGATTTCTATCAAACCACAGAAGATCGGCCGGAGCTTATATGGAAGCCGGACGGGGTACACTACGGCTCTGAAGCTTTGGCTGTACACTCCAAGATTCTTGCTAATATATTGTGCAATAGAAAATAGATATTGCATTATCTTTACTTCGTTTTTGTGCCATCAATGTCTGTAAAGCTAAATGCAGTCTACAACACTAGGTTTTGCACTGATACCGTAGTACACTAAGCCAGGACCCACATACTGGTAGCATACAGGCAAAATCTGAACGAAAGCATGCAATGCATCACAGCAAAACATCCGGGCGTTTTTTAGACATCTCAAAACTGTGACGCAACCTTACGAGCAATCTATACACTGAATCAAACAGACACATCAGGAAGCCGCCACATTACACAGTTTGACTCGCCCTGCATTCTTCTCATTGGTTGAAGTTGTGTAGGCAAGGCACAACCAAGTCCCAGCCACTGACAGAAGTTCTGAGTCAACTCAATACTCATCTTCGCTGGTGCTGAAAGTTATGCAAGCGCCGGCCGACCAAGTACCTATCGTCCCGAATCGCATCGTGCAAAGAAGCAAGCCACTCACACACCCGCCGCCACACCCTCGCCGTCCCCACCACCCCCAACGCAGTAATCCACGCGAATCGGAACGCCGCTGATTCGAGCACGGGGGGGAGGCGGAGCAAGGGGAGTGCTGCGCGGACAGCCAGGAAGGGAGCTGTGAGGGCTGTGAGGAGGAAGAGGAGGACTGGAGCGATAATCTCCTGGAAGGTGCGGGCGGCGTTGAGGCGGCGGAGGCCGTCTTGTTGCAGGCGGAGGAAACGGGCCCGCCACTCTTGGTTGGCTAGCAAGTGGTTCTGTGCGGTGACCTGCGGTGCAAGGGAAGAGGAGGGGAAATGGGAGTGGTGACAGGGAGTGAGTAAGGATGCAGGCGGAGGAAGAGGGCTCGCCACTCTTGGCTGGCTAGTAAGTGGTTCCGTGCGGTAACCTGCGGTGCGAGCGAGGGGAGGGGTAGAGAGAGCAGTGGTTAACAGACACTCAGACATGCACTTGAATGGGAGTATGAATGAATGCATGGATGGGAGCATAACTGCATGCATGGATGGGAGCATAAGGGCATGCATGGATGGGAGCATAAGGGCATGCATGGATGGGAGCATAAGGGCATGCATGGATGGGAGCGTAAGTGCATGCATGGATGGGAGCATAAGTGCATGCATGGATGGGAGCATAAGGGCATGCATGGATGGGAGCATAAGGGCATGCATGGATGGGAGCATAAGGGCATGCATGGATGGGAGCGTAAGTGCATGCATGGATGGGGGGATGGATAGGCACACTCACCACTCTGGCCCAGAGCTTGAGCAGTATGAGGCTGAGAGCCCAGTCGTGGTAGAGCGAGAGCAGCGGGTGACGGACACACGAACATGAATGTATGCATGGGTAGGCGCATGGCGCACTCACCACTCTGGCCCATAGCTTGAGCAGTATGAGGCCGAGAGCCCAGTCGTGGTAGAGAGAGAGCAGCGGGGACTCGTTGATGGGCACTCGGATGGGCATGATGACAGCTAGGTCGACCAGCAGACCTGCTAGGATTGGTGCCACTACCAACTGTAGAGGGGGGGAGGGATGGGTGCAGCAGGAGGCATGCAAAAAGACGGAGAGAGCAGTAGAGAGGAGAGAGAGCAGCGGGGATTCGTTGATGGGACTCGGATGGGCATGATGACTGCCAGATCGACCAGCAGACCCGCTAGGATTGGTGCCATTACCAGCTGAGGGGTGGGGATAGGTTCAGGGTCCAAGCAAGGAGGGGAGGGAGAGCAGAGGAGACTCGTTGATGGGCACTCGGATGGGCATGATGACTGCTAGGTCGACCAGCAGACCTGCTAGGATTGGTGCTACTACCAGCTGTAGGGTGAGGGATGGGGAGGGTAGGGAGAGAAGGAAGGGAGGGATGAGAGCAGCGGGGATTCGTTGATGGGCAATGATGGGTATGATGACTGATAGGTCGACAAGCAGGCCCGCTAGGATAGGCACCACTATGAGAAAGCCAAGGAAAAGGGAAGGGGAGGGGAGGGCCTATGGATGGGCATGATGATTGCCAGATCGACAGCGCATGATGGCATGGGCGTGATCGAATGGGCATGAGGGCATGGGCGTGATGGGATGGGCATGATGGCATGGGCATGATGGGCACTCATAAGGGAGATTCACAGGACAACACTCACCCACAGCAGCAGTTTAGTTTTGAGGCGCCTCAAAACTCGATGGCATGGGCATGATGGGCACCTATAAGGGAGATTCACAGGACAGCACTCACCCACAGCAGCAGCAGCACCGCCGCTTTAAGGGCCACAGCAGCCCAGTGCACGAGAGGTAGCAGCAGCGCCCGCATGTTGTTACGCGGTAACCGCAAGACAGCTGCTTGCATGGCTGCTATGGACCCCCAGATGAGGTAGGCTCCGATGCCAAAGGAATAGAGGTCTGGATGGGTGGAGAGGGGTGTAAGAGTGTGAAGTTGGGTAAGGGGAAAAGTGAGTGGTGGTAAGTGAAGCATAAGAGCTACAAAGGCCCAAATGAGGTAGGCTCCGATTCCTAAGGAATGAAATCTGGATGGGTGGATAGGCGAAACACCAGTCGCCCTACAGCCGTGGGCAGCAGCACCAATAGCAACGCTGCTAGAGACGCCCACAGAGTGTGTCGGTGGATGGATGGATGGATGGAACACACTCCTCCCTTACCAGTAAAGCCATGCCGTAGATGAAAGACGTCTCACCATTGCAAGGAGTGTCGTCAGCAGCAGCACTGGGCAGCATGGAGGCGGACAGCCGAAAGGCCAATCGCCCCACAGCCGTGGGCAGCAGCACCACTGCCGTGTTGAACGCTGCTAGAGACGCCCACGCCGCCACCAGCAGAGCCACTATCCGCACCCGGAAATGCTCGTCCTCCTTCTTGCCCCCACTCCCCCCGCTGCCGCTGCCGCCCGCACTCTCACTCACGGTCCCACTGCTGCTGCCAGTGCTACCATCTGTGATGCTTCTGCTGCTGCTGCCGCTGCCAATCTCCCTGGTGCTGCCACCACTGCCGCTTCTGCTGCTGTTTCCTCTATCTTTGTAATTGGGAGTTGCAATAGAGGCTGCAACAACCCTGTCCTTCCCCCGTTCTATCTCTTCCTCTTCTCTTCCTGTCTCCTCCCTCCCCTCCTCCACTGCCTTCCCCTTCCCCCTTGATCTCTCCACCTCCCTTCTCTCCAAATCCTCCTCTTCCTCTTCTTCGTCCTCCTCCCCCTCCTTCTCCCCCTCTTCCTCCACCTCCTTAATCCTTCTATCCAAACTAACCCCTTTTCCAGTTGCTGCTCCTCCCGCTCCTCCTGCTCCCACTGCTTCCACTTCTCTCGCCTTTCCCTTTAAAAAATCGCCATCAGTTCCTACCCCAGCTGTCCCAGCGATCCCAACTGCTCCAACTATCCCAACTGCTCCAACTATCCCAACTGCTCTTACAGCAACAGTACCTCGCGAGGGTGCTGCTGCTGCTCTCGCCAGCGCTGCCTCTGCTGCCTTCTCCGCAGCTAATATTCTCTCAACAAACCGGCTGTCCATGGGAGTGTCATCTGGAGCAATGACACGGGAGTCCAATTCTGAAGACCCCTCATCAATGCTTTCCCCAGCTACGGTTCTCGTTCTTACAGAAGACCCTGGTAGAGGCGCATTAGGAGTGGTGGCATGGGAAGCAGGTGCAATATGAGAGGTCTCAGGTGCAGCAGGGTTAGGAGAGCGTTGGAAAGCAAGAGGAGGGGGAGGAGGAGGAGTAGCAGCAGCTGCAGGGTGGAAAGCAACAGGAGGGGGAGGGGGGCGAAAGGCTATGGGAGGTGGGGGAGGAGGAGCAGCAGCAACACCAGCAGGCGCAAGAGGAGGAGGGGGGGGAGCAGCAACAGCAGCAGCAGCAGCAGCAGCAGCAGCACCAGCACCGACACCAGCATCACCAGCAGCAGCAGCAGCGGCGGGACCGGCAGGGGGCGGGAGCAGGAACTGCTGTAGCATGAGGAGGTGGGCGGCAGCGCGGAACCAGAGGGAGAGCGCGGCCTTGATGGTGGCGCGCGGGCGCAGGCGGTCGATGGCAAAGGGGATGCACACGTGGACGAGGAGCATGTCTAGCGGGATCTCCATCAGTGGATCGGAGAACCTGGAAGGGAGCGTGGGGGAGGGACGGGGCCGTTCGTGTTGAGAAGGGCTTCGGAAGGGACACACTGGGAAGGGCATGCACACTTGGAAGAGGAGCATTTCTAGTGGGATCTTCATTAGCGGGTCGGAGAACCTGGGGGCACAAAGGGAATGGGGAGTGGCGGGGAGGGGTGGGGAATACGCATGTGTGAATGAGGAGGCTGAGAGGGGAGGGCGGTCGATGGCAAAGGGGATGCACACGTGCAAGAGCAACATGTCGAGAGAAATTTTCATTAGAGGGTCGGAGAACCTGGGGGTAGCTCAAAAGTGCGACTTGGTGCGACTTTTGAGAATTCTCAAAAGAGAACCTGGGGGTAGTGGGAGCGCGATGGGACAGAAGGCGCGATGCAACAGAAGGCAGGAGAACAGGGGTGTGCGAAAGGGCCGAATGAGAAACCCTAATTTCCAGAGAGAGGGTGGAGTGGAAGAGAGGAAAATAGAATGAGTGGAAGAGACGCAGAGAGGGTGGAGGGAAAAGAAGAAGAAAAGAGCCAATAACCAACTTCGAAGTTGAAGGGGAACATAATGGCCGCGATGGCAATGGCAGCTCCCATGGGGAGAGAGAGAGAGGGAGAGAGGGAGAGCAGTAGCACCACGAGCGCGCCATAGGCAAAGAGCGAGGGAAATAGGAAGAGAGAGAGAGTGGGAGAAACGGGGAGAGAGAGAGGGAGCGAGAGAGGGAGAAGGCGCCTATAACCGACCCACCTGTAGTTAAAGGGGAACATGCTGGGCGCGATGGCGATGGCAGCTCGTACAAGCAGGAACAGGGAGAAAGAGGGAAAGCACGATGCGGCGAAAGAGAGAGGGAGAGGGAGGGAGAGGAGTCTAGAAGAGTCTAGAGGAGTCTAGAGGAGTCGGGATCTCACCTGTAGTTGAAGGGGAACATGGTGGGCACGATGGCGATGGCAGGAAGAGCAGCAGCACGACCAGCGCGCCGTAGGCAAACAGCTAGGGAGAGCACGATGCAGTGCATGTGAGGAAGAGAGGAAGAGACGGAGAGAGGTGCTAGATACCCACCTGTAGTTGAATGGGAACATGGTGGGCGCGATGGCGATGGCTGCTCGCACGGGCAGGAAGAGCAGCAGCACCACGAGCGCCCCGTAGGCAAGCAGGGAGAGCACGATGCGGCGCGCGTGCTTGGGAATGGGGTCCTCCACCAAGTCGCGAAACGGGTTGAAGTTTGGATCGGTGGGGTCTCGAAGGAAGGAGAGGACCCCTGGGCGCAGGATCTGCATGGGGCAGGGGAAGGGAAGCGGAGAGGGGGTGTGAAAGACAGAGCGCGTGCTTTTGAATTGGGTCCTCCACCAAGTCACAAAACGGGTGGAAGTTTGGGTCGGTGGGGTCTCGAAGGAAAGAGAGGACGCCTGGGCGCAGGATCTGGATGGGACACACAAGGGACACACAAGGGACACACAAGGGACACACAAGGGACACACAAGGGACACACAAGGGACACACAAGGGACACACAAGGGACACACAAGGGACACACAAGGGACACACAAGGGACACACAAGGGACACACAAGGGACACACAAGGGACACACAAGGGACACACAAGGGACACACAAGGGACACACAAGGGACACACAAGGGACACACAAGGGACACACAAGGGACACACAAGGGACACGGATAGAGACAACAAGGAGAGACAAGACGGAGGGCAGGGATCAGGGAGCGCTTGGGAATGGACACCCATCAAATCGCGAAACGGGTTGAAGTTCGGATCGGTGGGATCGCGGAGAAAGGACCTCTCTTGGGCGCAGGATCAGCGTCAGGGGAGGGGACACAGAACGGCAAGAACGGGGAGAAGGATGAAAAGGGGGGAGGGGGAACAGGGAGAGGCTGTGTGCTTGGGGATGGAGTCCTCCACGAGATCCCTGAAGGGATCGAAGTTTGGGTCGGCAGGATCATGGAGGAAGGAGAGGTGAACATGATCCTGGTAGTGAGGTGAACATGATCCTGGTAGTGAGGTGAACATGATCCTGGTAGTGAGGTGAACATGATCCTGGTAGTGAGGTGAACATGATCCTGGTAGTGAGGTGAACATGATCCTGGTAGTGAGGTGCCAAACGCAGGAATGGCATGGTGACCGAGGAAGAGGAGGGGAATGAAGCGAAGGATGATGGGGTGGTGGCGGGGAAGGGGGATGGCAGGGGAGAGGATGGAAGGCTGGAGAGATGGAAACGTGAGGGGCTTGAGAAGAGACATCTAGCTTCATGTGTGCTAAGTGTAAAGTCTTGCAATGTACCCACCTCTCTCAAGATAGTGACGAGCAGGCTGACTTGCAGCATGTACAGGATCCCCACGAACCAGTGCAGGAAGCAGCACAGCAGCGGGTGCGCCAGCAGCAGCGCGAGGCGGTCCGAGGGGGAGGCACCGAAGAGGGAGAGCGAGCAGAAGTCGATCCACCAGCCGCAGAGGAACGGGAAGGCGCCTAGCTCCACTGAGAGCAGACTGGTGACTTTCAAGACCACCAAGCCGTGCCTGCGAGGGATGGAAAGGGATAGAAAATAATAGAGAGGGATAGGACGGGATACAGATGGGTGGAGGGGCGCAGAGGGGGGAGAGCGAGCAGAAGTCGATCCACCAGCCACAGAGGAAAGGAAAGGCCCCGAGCTCGACTGACAGGAGACTGGTGACCTTGAGAACTACTAGACCGTGCCTGAGAGGAACAGGAAGGGGTGGGAAGGGATACGGAGAGATAAGGATGGGTGAAGAGGCACCGAAGAGGGAGAGCGAGCAGAAGTCGATCCACCAGCCGCAGAGGAACGGGAAGGCGCCCAGCTCAACCGAGAGGAGACTGGTGACTTTCAGCACGACCAAACCGTGCCTGATATAGGGAGTGATAGGGGAGGGTACAGATGGGTGTAAGGGAAGGCACTGAACTGACGAGGGAGAGGGGAGAGGCGGTCAGAGGGGGAGGCACCAAAGAGAGAGAGCGAGCAAAAGTCGATCCACCAGCCACAGAGAAACGGGAAGGCGCCCAGCTCCACTGAGAGGAGACTGGTGACTTTCAGCACCACCAAGCCGTGCCTGATATAGGGAGTGATAGGGAGGGATAGGGAGGGGTACAGATGGGTGTAAGGGAAGGCACTGAACTGACGAGGGAGAGCGAGCAAAAGTCGATCCACCAGCCGCAGAGAAACGGGAAGGCGCCCAGCTCGACTGAGAGGAGACTGGTCACCTTCAACACCACCAAGCCGTGCCTGAGAGGGATGAGAAGGGATAGAGATGGGTGAAGAGGCACCGATGAGAGAGAGCGAGCAGAAGTCGATCCACCAGCCGCAGAGGAACGGGAAGGCACCCAGCTCGACCGAGAGAAAGACTGGTGACTTTCAGGACCACTAGCCCGTGCCTGCGAGGGAACAGGGAGGGATGGGAAGAGATGGGAAGGGATACAGATGGGTGAGGAGGTGACGACGAGAGAGCGAGCAGAAGTCGATCCACCAGCCGCAGAGGAAAGGGAAGGCACCAAGCTCTACTGACAAGAGAACTAGCCTACTGGTCACCATTAGGACAGCTAGCCCGTGCCTGTGTATGGAAGAATGGGAAGTAGGGAGGCATGCAAAGGGGTGAGACGAGAGAGCCGGCGAGAGAGGCGCAGGGAAGGTGAGTGAAAGCTGCACCTGACGCCCCACCAACGGCAGCAATGCGTACTCTAAAGTAAAGTCCCCACAACAGCACCCACCCACACAATACCCACCTGACAGCGGCAACAAGGTGCTCCTGAATCACCGGCGCCACCTGCAGCAGCGCGAGCAGAGTAGCAGGTAACGCCCCCACCAGCGGCAGCCCTCGGGCTCGCCTCAGCTGAATGGCAACCAACACGTGCACGGCACAGCAGAACGCCACGACCTCGTACCCCACCAGCAGCGACACCAGATTGCCCGCTGCCAGCCCGTGGCCCGCTTCAGCCCAGCGCAGGCCCAGCAGGGTGCAGCACCACTGCGAGTAGAGCGCTGCTGCCAGCACGAGCTGGTGGGAGAGCGAGGAGAGGTGCGCCGTGGTGATTTGGAGGAGGTGAGCCAGCAGGGCTGTCGTGGTGCTGCTGGAGGTGGTGCTGCTGGTGGCGGTGGTGGTGGTGGTAGTAGGAGTGGTGGCATTGGATAAGAGATGCTCGCTGCTGCTCTGGCTGACGTTGCTGCTGCTGCTGCTACTGCTGCTGCTCCTGCTGCTGATACTGTAATTCCTGCTGGAATGAGGGCTATTACTAGTGGCCTTACTACTCTCCTCCCCACTATATACCATCCCATCCACGTTCTCCGTTCTTCTCCCAATCTTGTCCCGTTGCTCTTCTTCTAACTTCTCTCTCCTCCTCGCCCCCCTCCCCTCCCCTCTCCTCTCCCCTCTCCTCTTCCCCCTCCTCCCATGCAGCTTCAGGAAGGACGCACGCGGTGAGGAAGGAAGAAGGTTCGATATCCACGCACACTCATGCTCCCCCTCTCGCGCACACCTATACACCCCTCTATAGTCACCCTCATGCTCATGCTCCCCACTGAACACACCCTGAGACCAACCCCCCTTCTCGTACCCACACACACGTAGCTCGTCCAAAAATTTAGGCCGAGAGGAAACAGGGCAGAAGCCCCAGTGCGCAAACGGTTCCGAGGAGTTGAGATAGGTTGGGTAGATTGGGGGGATGCAGGACGGGGTGGAGAGCGGTGGAGGGGTGGGGAGGGGGAGTGTAGGGGGGCCGAGGAGGAGGGAGTAGATTGGGACGAGAGAGATGGTGGAGGCGGGGGAGAGGAAGAGGAAGGAGAAGAGGGCTATGTAGAGCCGACCGAGGTTGAATGGGAGGAAGAAGGCCAGTACGAGCACAAAGAAGTTGCTGCAGAGAACCTGTGGGGGGCAAGAATGTGGGGGGGGGTAGGGGAAGGAAAGGGATGGAGAGGAGTTGAGATAGGTAGGGTAAATTGGGAGGATGTAGGAAGGGGAGAGCAGGGTGGGGGCCAGGAGTGTGGGGGGGCCGAGGAGGAGGGAGTAGATTGGGACAAGAGAGATTGTGGAGGCGGGGGAGAGGAAGAGGAAGGAGAAGAGGGCTATGTAGAGCCGACCGAGGTTGAATGGGAGGAAGAATGCCAGCACAAGCACAAAGAAGTTGCTGCAGAGCACCTGAGAGGGGTGGAGAGGGGAGGAACAGGGGTGGAGGGCGGTGGTTGATCGGTCTGATTGGAGGAAGACACGAGCACGAGCACGAGCACAGAGAACTGAAGAGAGGAGGGGGGAGAGGCTGAGGGGAGGAAGAGGAAGGAGAAGTGGGCTATGTATAATCGACCGCGGTTGAACGGGAGGAAGAATGCGAGTACGAGCACAAAGAAGTTGCTGCAGAGCACCTGAGAGGGGCGAAGGAGGAGCGGGAAGGGGTGGAGAGGAGATGGTGGTGGTGATGGGTGAGAATTGAAAAGGGGACATGGTTGAAAGGGAGGAAGAATGCAAGTACAAGCACAAAGAAATTGCTTCAGAGCACCTGAGAGGCCAATGGGGAGAGGGAGGGGGAGAAAAGGGAAGGGTGGGGGGGGGAGAGGGTACATGCTTCGATTGGAGGAAATGGGCACGAAATCATTGCTGCACAGGACCAGAGCGGGAAGAGGAAAGAGAGGTGGCACAGGTCGCCCTCAGCACTCAGCAGCACTCAAACCTATCAGCTCCTCAAACCCTAGATCGTCCATTGGCTCTCCGCCCTCGTCCACCTCGCCCTCCCCCATGCCCCCCTCCCTTGGCCCCTTAACACAGCACTCACAGTGGTGGCGTTTTCAAAGAGGCGCCAGAGCGGCCCCTGCAGGCCGATGAGCTCCTCAAACCCTAAATCGTCCATTGGCTCCCCATCCTCGTCCACCTCCCCCTCCCCCATGCCCGCCTCCGCCTCCTCAAAATCCTCCTCCTCTTCTTCCTCCTCTTCTTCCTCCTCTTCCTCCTCTTCTTCCTCCTCTTCCTCCTCCTCTTCCTCCTCTTCCTCATACTCGTAATCATCATCATCATCCTGAAAACTCCCACTCTCTTCCTCTTCCTCACCCCCCTCCTCCCCACTCCCCTCCTCCTCACTCGCAGCACTGCTCCCATCTCTAAACTCCTCATCTTCGTGTATCTCATTCCCCCACGCACTCCCCCTTTGCACAGATAACCCCCCACCATCTCCGCTCCCCCCATTCCCCAACGCCTGGGCGGATGAATTCGCGCCATCTCCGCCCGTCTCATCCCCCCACAACCTCCCCTGCCCCCTCCTCCCCTCCCCATGCTCCCCTTCCTCCCCCAACCCACCTGCTGCCATATCCTCTTCCCTCTCCACCCCTTTCCCCTTCCCACGGCCGTCACTGCCTCTCCCCTTTGCTTCCTCTGTACATACTCTTCCCTCTCTTCTTTCTATTCCTTCCGCCCCCTCTCCGAGTCTCAACCTCCCCACCTGTCCACCCTCTCTTCGAGCTGCTCCCCCCCCCTCTCCCCCACCCACTTCCCCGCCACTTCCCCCCACTTCTCCCCCGATCTCACCATCTCCCCCACCATCTCTCTCTTCCCCGTGGCCTCCGCCCTCCGTACCGCCTTCCTTCCCCGCACTCTTTCCCCCAGCCCCAGCCACAGTAGCAGCGGAACCTGCTGCTGCAGCAAAGCCACCTTCCGCTGCTCCTTCCCTCTCTTCCCCTTCCCTCCCTATCCCTCCTCCCTCCGCTCCTCCCGCCTCTCCTTCCTCTGCTCCTACTCCTGCCGCTATCACTGCTCCTTGCCCATCCGCGCCTTCCCCCCCTAACTCTTCTCTTTCCGGCTCCTCCCCCCGCTCGTCCCTCCCGCTATTCCTGCCCCGCGCGTCCACCTGTCCGGTTCCCATTTGCCCCGCCTCTCCAGCCGGGCGGAAGAAAAATCTCGCCGGGCGACGCGTCTCCTGGGCGGAAGGATTCGCACCAAACACAAACGGCTGGTCGTCCGTCGCAGGGCCAGTCGCAGGGCCTGTCGCAGAGCCACCTGCACGGTCGCTGAACGAAAATGGTCGGCCAGACGAACCCGGGGGGAGAGGAGTCCCCAGGGGGGGAACGACAGGCGGAGGCGGAGGGGGGATTGCGCGTGGATGAGGACCGTCCTCCTCCCCGTTTTGTCTTATTCGAGCAGCGTCCCCTGGATTTTGTTGCAAGAAGGGTGGAGGGGGGGGTGGAGGCTGGTGCTGGTGCCGGTGCTGCTGGTGGCGCTGGTGCTGGTGGTGCTGGTGATGGTGGTGGTGCTGGTGCTGATGCTCGTGGTGGTGGTGATGGTGGTGGTGATGATGATGGTGATGCCTTCTCTGCTGCTGCCCCCCCTGCTGCATCTGCCCCTGCTGCCCCTGCTGCCCCAGCAGCTGCCCCCGCTGCTGCGCCACAAGCGCCCCCCCCTCCGCCTCGGCCGCCTCCCCCTCCCCTTCCCCCGCGCCCCCCACCCCCACCTCAAACCCCTCCTCCCCTTCCATCTGCTGCTCCAACAGCTGCGCTAGATACTCCCTCAGAGACGACAAGCTCAGAAAAAACAAAATCACCGCCGCGGACAGCACGCTCCCCAGCACGCAGTCCTGGAAAATCGCCCCGCCCGTGAGCCTCTCGCGGAACAGCGCGCCGATGCGCGTCCAATCGCGGAGGAAGCAGAGGTGCCAGATGGAGCTCGTGAGGAACGGCACGAGGAGCAGCCACACGAACGCGATGAGCGCGGCGCGCAGGACGAACGAGACGGCGCGCCCCGCCATCAGCGCCGCGCCCGCGAGAAACTCGTTTGGGGGGAGCCGGGACGGCGCGTTGGGCGCGTAGATGGGGGAGAAGATGAACGCGCGCTTGCATACCTGGGTGGTGTGGGGAAAGGGGAGGGCGCGGAAGGGAAAGGGCAGAGAGGGGGGAGGGAGGGGAAGGAGGGAGGTCAGGGAAGTTGGAGGGCGGGAACGGGGGAAGGCAGGGAAAGGCGGGGGAAAGGAACGGGGAGTGGAAGGAAAAAGATGGAGACGTAAGGAGCGGGAAGCGGACAGAGAAGAAAGCTTGTGGGAGGCAGTGGGAGGAAGAGCTCTTTCCTCGCGTTTACGAGAAACAGATAGCTTGCCACATATACGGCAAGAAGGGAGCTTGCCGCGTGTACGCAAGAAGGGAGCTTGCCACGTGTACGAGAGAAAAAAAAATATCCACTGTACGCGCGAGCTTGCAGCGTGTATCGGAAACCAAAACGGCGACGCAAAGGGACACAGACGCGATTGCCGGGAGAGTGGGACGTGTAGCAAACAAGGACGACTGATAGATTCGAAGAGGGGGGATAGATAAAGGGCGGTGTGATGCCGACGCGAGCTCGCAATAAGGAAAATCCAGAAACAATTACTGGTTCCAGAACCTATTAAGTTAGCACCAACCGACTGCATGCATATCTTCCGTCAATAGTGACACGCAAATCTATTATTGTGGCGAGTTCGCTGTAAAGAGGAACAGCATCTTCAAGTGAATCAAGAACCGTGCAGTCAAGATGTAGGCGGTACGAAACTGAAGCACGCCAAGAAACCAGGATGTACCGCTTAGAACCACGTCAATGTCAATGTTACGGACTGCGAGCGAGCCGCGACGCTGCGAATTTGCGAGGCTGCGACTTTCGCGAGGCTACGAGCTGCGAACGCTAACAAACCTCGCAGTGCGTTTTGTTGCTGTGGTGCAGCCATTGCAGCAAGCAGCCCTGATGCACGAACTTGATGCTCCCGCTACAAGCACACGGGTGGTACAGCGGATCCCCGTCCGCTGCCGGCGCACGGCAAATCCTACACACGTCCTCCTCCTCCTCTTTCATGGCTGGATACCGTTAGAGATAATCCTTGATCGATGTCATAAAGATCGTTAAACCTCAGAAACTATTTCTGTGAGAAATGCTACTTAGGCATTGCCCGTAAAGCGAGGACATGCAAAACAGGGCTCCCTAAGTCTGCGAAAACAGGGTGAGGCTAGAACTAACACGGGAAAACGGAGACGGGTAAAAGCTGGTCGAAGAAAGACGGCAGACGGTTGGGCTCTGATGATTTTGAAAAGACTAGGACGGCGAGGTGCAAAGAGAACCAAAGCTTCTAAACAGACGAACCCTAGATTCAGAACTGAGTTGAAGAGGAAGCACTTGCCTCATCTAGATTCAGAAAGCGTGAGAACACCGACCCTAGATTCGTAACTGAGCGGAAGAGGATGAGGACGGAGAGGGGACGGGAGCAGCCATAACCTAGCGATTTCTTGGCGATTTGTATGGTGTTTACGCTGGGCTATTGGGTAACATGGCGGTGAGCTCGCGTGTAAGTACGGTACCCGATTTTCCGTATCTTTCTGAACCGCTCCAAAACACTAAGAAAGTATCTGAACACTGATCAAACGCGCTGGTAACGAACTGCTGCGACACCCTCAGCAGAAGATGTTCAGCACCCCCTGTTACTGTACTGCAAATTTACACTAACGGTTTTTTCCTCTCCATAAGCTTATCCGTAGGTTCTGACAACCAAGCCGGGGTGGCGGGAAAATAACGCTTGTACACAGGATCTTGGCAAAGGAGTGTTCTAGAAACGGGAGAAACAAGAAGTGTGGAAACGTGGCGAAAGGTCACACAGGATCCTTATCCATTCGCGACAAAAGCAACACTTTCCAGGTTCGCAAGCGTTTGCTGACCTGGATATCGTCGCGTCGTGCCACATAGTACACAAATGCAAAATGACCTCACACATCCGTAACCACAACCATCATCAGGTTCGCGACAAGAACAATGCTGCGGTTACCACTAACACTTGTGGTCACGCATCCACCATCACCAGAGTAGGGTGAACCAAACACAGAACACACCACAAGCCGTGGCGATCAGTTTCCCAGGTTTCGCCAACGCATTTCTCTCGCGAGCTCTCGCCGTCAACCATAATTCCCATAGCTGCCTGAAGCTGCTTGTTTGTACTTTTTAGTGGATCAGCTACGGCTGGCCAACGGCGGAAGCTCGTAAGAGTGGCTGGTCAGGCCGGGGATTTTGCTGTAGCTGCTATCGTTGTTACCTAACATGGTGGCGACGTTAATCTGTCCAGCCATGGCTGTGGTAACACCCAAGGCACAGCAGCCAATGACGCATCAACCAGCTACTCGGAGAATCGCCAGACTACCAATGTGCTTACCGCAGCCGATCGCGCTTAACGGCAAGATACCTATGCACCACCGTCATCAACATTCAATTTTCGCCACGTCTCCAGATCGCACACCGTCAATCTTCGCTTCACGAAGCCGCGTACCCACTGGCAGACGACAGCCGTTGATCGCAAGAGCGCAATCCGACGGTTCTGATGCACCACCAACCCAGACGCCTCCGCCGGCAACCCCACCACCGGCAACTTTCAAGTCGTCACAAACTTCCCAACCGGCAACTTCCCAGCCGGCCGGCACGCTGGAGCTTGTCGGCGAGGACGCCGCCGTCTTCAGCATTGACGACCAGAAAACCTCCTCCTGGGCGGCATTTTTTGGCGTATTAGGCGTCGTAATGGCGATTTTGTACGTCATCTGGATCGATCCAAACACCGGATTTGGCGGCGCGTACATCGGTCTGTTCGAATCGCTCTCGGATAGTCGCGAGATTCAGATGCTGCTGATGCTGTTCGTGTTCGCCATCGTGCACAGCGGAGGCGCGGCGCTCCGGCCGGCGGCGGAGCGCGTGATCGGCGAGCGCGCTTATCGCGTGCTGTTCGCGGGAATCTCGCTGCCGCTCGCCGTCTCTGCCGTGGTACGTCTGGGTTCGTAAGGAGCGGGTTTGTCTGAGGTCACAACTGAGGGTCTTGGGAGTCTGCAGCAGTATGTTTGGGATGGCCATTGCGAGTATTTTAATGTGATAAATGTGTTGTTTTGAGACGTCTCAAAACAAAACATTTATTTCGTAAGGAGCGGGTTTGTCTGAGGTCACAACTGAGGGTCTTGGGAGTCTGCAGCGGTATGTTTGGGATCACAATTGCGAGTATTCTAAAGAATGTGCGTATGTCGAGTCCTGTCGTGCTCTCACTGCCCCTCGCCTGAGGTGATCACGCCACCTCTGCAGGGCAGTGGTGCATCTGGGGTCAATTTTGAGTCGGCTCGAAAATAGGCTCGGCAGTGCGGTGCAGTGCAGTGCAGTGCAATGCAATGCAGCGCAATGCAGTGCAATGTAATGCAGTGCAGTGGTGTGTCTGAGGTCACTATCGAGAGTTTGCTGAAAAATGTAACGTGTGAATCCACTAAAGAAATGTGAGTTTTGAGCGACGTTTGGATCAGCAGCTGCCCTCATTCCCTCATTTCCTCCCCTCCTCAATCGCCGCTCCCCATCTTCCACCTCCCACCAACAAACCCCCCCCCTCCTCCCCCCCTCCCCCACCCCCATCAGGTATTTTTCATCAACCATCGCTATGACGGTTTCCCTCTCTGGCAGCTGCGGGGAGTCCCAGGCATGCACGAGTTCGTGTGGGCGCTCGCCTTCGTCTCCTTCTTCTTCCTCTACCCCTCCACATTCAATCTGCTCGAGGTGGCGGCGGTTGATAAGCCCAAGCTGCACATGTGGGAGACGGGCGTCATGCGGATCACCAGGCACCCCCAGGTGCGGTGTGGCGCAGTGTGGTGTGGCGCAGTGTGGTGTGGTGTGGTGGTGTGGTGTGTTGTAGTGTGGTTTGGTGTGATCTGGTGTGGTATGGTGTGCGGTTGATATTCCAAGCTGCACATGTGGGAGGTGGGCATCATGAGGATCACCAGGCGTCCCCAGGTGAGCTCTGGTGTTAACGGTGTGGTGTGGTTAGGTGAGGTGATGTGTGGTGTTGTTCTATCGCCCTCCTCTGCTTTTTCTTTTTTTCTTTGTTCTCTTGCCTGCTCCCGTCCTTCCTTGCTCTCCTCCCCTTCCCTCCTTTCTCTCTTGTGCACTGCTCCCAACACCATCTCCTTTATCTTTTGTTCCCTTCTCCTCCCATCGCTCTCCTCCTCTTCCATCAGATGACCGGTCAGCTGCTCTGGTGCGTTGCTCACATGCTCTGGGTCGGCTCATCCTTCACAGCAGTCACGTCCCTCGGCCTGCTGGCTCACCACCTGTTTGGCGTGTGGCACGGGGACCAGCGACTGGAGAAGAAGTATGAAGAGGCGTTTGACGAGGTGAGTAAGGGAAGCGGGGTGTTTGTGAGTGCGCCTGGGTTAATCATGTGCGTCTGGGTGCTCCTAGGTGCGGTGGGTTCAAGGCAGGTGGTTTCCTTTCCTTCGCAGCAGTCACGTCCCTCGGCCTGCTGCTGCACCACATGTTTGGCGTGTGGCACGGAGACCAGCGACTAGCCAAGACATATGGAGAGGCATGCGACGAGGTGAGCTAAAAGTCAAGTGTTAGTCTCAAGGCAGGTGGTTTCCTTCACGACAGTCACGTCCCTCGGCCTGTGCCTGCACCACCTGTTTGGCGTGTGGCACGAAGACCAGCGTCTATCCAAGAAATACGGAGAGGCCTTTGACGAGGTGCGTGGGGGCGAGTCTACGTGTGTCTGCGTGAGTCCAGGGGGGTTCAAGGCAGGTGGTTTCTTTCACGGCAGTCACGTCCCTCGGCCTGCTGCTGCATCACCTCTTCGGCGCCTGGCACGGAGAACGGCGACTCGCCAAGAAAGACGGAGAGGCATTTGACGGGGTGAGCAGGGAAAGCGGGGTGTTTGTGACTGTGCCTGGGTGCATCTGGGTGCATCTGGGCAGTCAGGTCCCTCGGATTCCTCATTACTCTTCAACCCTGCCATGTTCCCTCACTCAATCCTTCGCCCACTCCCTCACCCACTCCCTCACCCACTCCCTCTCCCACTCCCTCACCCACTCCCTCACCCACTCTCTCTCCCACTCCCTCACCCACTCCCTCTCCCACTCCCTCACCCACTCCCTCTCCCACTCCCTCTCCCACTCCCTCACCCACTCCCTCACCCACTCCCTCACCCACTCCCTCACCCACTCCCTCTCCCACTCCCTCACCCCCTCCCTCATTCCTTAACCATGTGCGCGGGCGCACGAGCATAGTCCTGTTTGCAGCCATTCTGGACGGCAGGCAACAGCTGCCCCCAGACTACTACAAGGAGTTTCTGCGCGTTCCGTACCTTTCCCCGTCACCCTTCCACCCTACCTCGTTCACTCACCCTGCCTCACCCCCTCCCTCCCCATCCCCTGCCCAGGTCCGTAAGCGCACGAGCATTGTACCGTTTGCAGCCATTCTCGACGGCAGGCAACAGCTGCCTCCAGACTACTACAAGGAGTTTCTGCGCGTGCCGTACCTTGCAATCACGGCCATGACTGTTGGCGCGTACTTCTGCCATCCACTCATGATTCAAGCCAGCTTCTGGCTGCATTGGTAGGGTAGGGAGGGACATGTGGAGAAAGAAACAAATGAGGCAGCACCTTGCAAACCAGGCGTGGCGTGCCGTACATTGCAGTCACAGCCATGACTGTTGGCGTGTACTTCTGCCATACCGCCATGATTCAAGCCAGCTTCTGGCTGCATTGCTAGGAGCATGTGAGAATGGAGACAAACCAGGCAATAGGGCGTGACAGTTGGGGCGTACTTCTGCCACCCCTTCATGATTCAAGCCAGCTTCTGGCTGCATTGGTAGGGTAGGGAGGGACATGTAGTGAGGGACATGTAAGCCAGGCAACAGCTGCATCCAAATTACTACAAGGAGTTTCTACGTGTGCCGTACCTTGCGATCGCGGCCATGGCTCTTGGCGGCGCGTACTTCTGCCATGCCATCCTCTTACGATTCATGCCAGCTTTTGGCTGCGCTGGTAACGAGGGAACAATCTAGTAAAGGAAACAATCCAAGCTGCAGCGCGTGCCTTGACTTGCATTGCAATCACCACCATGACCCTCCCATCTTATGATTCAAGCCAGCTTTTGGCTTTGTTGGTAGGGTAGGGTGGGGATGTTGCTGGGAACAGGGAAATTGTCTTATGCTATGTGGTGCATATACGGTATTCAATGATATACAGTGGAAGCTTACACCCACTACCACTACCATTGACCAGCTGTTGCAACAAGGTACAAGTAGCTGTTTTTGTTGAAGTTTATAATGAATATCAGACTAGTCATCTATCATTTAGTTCGCAGTGGTGGCCATTCAGCTGAGCTGAGAAAGAACAACATGAGAATCAGATGATGATAAGCTAAGAATCACACAAAAAAAACTGTAGTGTATATACGCAATGGACAACAACGAGTTTTGTTCATATCGCACGCCAGAGATTGGTGATGGAGGAAATCATGCCACAGTTATCTCCACGTGGAAAATCCTCTCTTGATAGGCTAACGGGCTTCCCGCCGCTACGTGTTTAATTTGCGGCCTGCACTGGAGCATGCATGTGTCCAATGGAAATATGGAACAGGCTGCTACGAGATTATTACATTTCGTGTAAACGGACTACGTGATTTGCTCGCGCCAGTGATTTTTTCTGGGCCGCTCAACGCTAGCCAACGGGGGTTGCTCGGTATCATGACAGCGTGCACAACTGGCTGCTTCAGAAGAATTAACCAGCGGGCAGAAGGTTGAGGAACAGATTGGTACATGTACCCATAACCATAGTCAAGAAATAACTGCCAACAACATCACACTACCTGACTCTAACAAGAGCAGGATGCATTTTGCATTCCTCGGTCAGCGAAGATGAAACAGAGACCGCACCGATACATCCTGCTCGCTGATGTATCTCGACAAATAAATGCGCGGCGAAGGATAGCCATTCCTGATGCTGTAGGCATTTATGGTATGTCGGGCTTGTGTAAATACTGAGTCATCTTACGTGGTTCGAAGGGCTGCAGCATTTTTATTGCTCCGAGCTTCGTGGACCGTCGTTCGTTGCGCTGGCAAATCAAGGCAACACTAATCAAGTCGGGATTGCAAGCAGGGGTGGTCATAAGTTGCTAGACGAAGCTGCTCAAGAAGATTCACGGACGCACTGCATTCTTTGCGAGAGTATATAAAATATCGCCCAAGGTTGACGGAATCTCGAAAACAGTCTGTGGCAAATCTGTAAGGGCTAATAGCTCGAAAGTATGGGCACAACGTCACTGGCTACATAGTCGCCCGTCTCGAGAATTGAGGTTTCTATGGCGAGAATACACTTCCCGCCCTCACCACCTACTCTGCGTTCCATGGATTCCATCGTGCTTAAATTCGTCCTCAGCTTGTAATGTTTACATAATTTCCCACTTTAGGGTAGTATCGGCAAGGCTTCGTGGTGTTACAGATTCTTCAAAAATAATTTGAGTGACCGATAGTCACGAGGAAACATGCAGGAACAGACAGGTAAGGCCGTCATCGAAATCCACATACGCGATGATGTGAGTCGAACCAACAGCAAGTGGACCACCAGATCCACAATCCAGCGTCATGCTGATGTGTACCACGCAACAAGAATCGCAGATTATGGCGGGAAACGAGATACCTCGTTGGCACGTGACGGACAGTTCCATTGAGGTTCCACAGCGCGGCAACCTGTAAACACCAATCACGGACGACAACTGTTCACGAAATGACAGCACTTCCTCGACGTGGGTCTTCTGTGGTTCGGAGCAACCCGCATGCCTGCTTGCATGGGCAGCGCGGCAGCACTCGAAATTATCCATTCCCGTCTTGTCAACGTGCCCCTTCCCTTATGCCAACCAAGCCGGAAACCCCCTGCACTCATCCATCTCTTCCCTCTCTTCTCTTCTCTCTCTTCCTCTCAATCTGTCCCCCATTTCAATCCAACTCCTGTCGGGAACTGTTCACCCGCCCTTCCATCTCCCTCCCCCTTTTGCGGACACACCCACCCCTATCGCTACCTGTAGTCTGTCCGACTGCCCCATCCTCCCCCACAAGGATAAGATCACCTCATTGTCACTCCAACTGTTCTCTGCTCAGTTGGTTGCCATTCCGGATTACCACTAGAGTCCTTAGGGCCTCAACTCCAGGTTCTACGTGTTCTATCCCCATTATTCGTCGATAGACTGTCCCCAGTCTCGACGACGCCATGGCTGCCACTCGCCCATCAGACGCTGTTCGCAGCTGCTACCCGCCTTTCCCCCGAAAGGACTCTCGTTGTCCTTCCACCAGCGCTAGCGGCTCCAACCAGCCGCACCACCAGTTGCGGAAGGCTATGGAGTCACGACTGGCAGCGTCCTCGGGCGCAGTCTCGTCGAATCGCGCATGCGAGAAGGCTGTGCTTGTCTCCTCGACCTCCCAGTCCTCGTCTGCCCCGTCCTCATCTCCACGTGTCATTCCGAAATCTCGCAGCAGCGGGGCTCTCCTCGCCTCATGCCCCATCCCGTTTAAGGCAGGAGTTTCTCCCCTTGCTCCTCCTGCCGAATCATCCATGACCGCCTCGTCGTCCCTGTCGGGTAACCAGACGGTTGAAACAGACCCTTTTTCGCGTCTACCGGACGACGTGGTAATCGAAATTCTTTCGCATCTGGGTGGCGGGGCGCCCGACGTGCTAGCAGCGTCGATGACGTGTCGCCGATGGCAGTCGCTCACTCGCGCCATCCCCGTCCTGCGATTCGTCCCCCGGGACACGAGCCGGGCGGGCGGAAGTGACTGCGCCTCCACGCTCCCCGCTTGTTCCGCCATCCAACGCGAGGAGCTTGTATCGCGTATGGTTCTAAAATCTGCAGGTCTGCAGCAGCTTCAAGTCACCTCCTCCCTCCTCCCCCCGCCGATCGCTACCGCCTTCCCCGCACGCTCCGCCTCCTCCCCATGCGACCATGGCGGCGATTGCGCGTGCAGCGGCAGCGCAGAGGCAACCCCGCAGCAGCAGCAGCAGCAACAGGAGCAGCACCAGCAGCACCCGCGCGAATTCATTTTCGAAGCATGGATGCGCCACGCCGGTCCGCAGCTGCAGTCCCTCGTGCTCTCTCGTTCTCTCAACGCCGCCGCGAACGGCGGCGGGTCTACGACGATTAACGTGTGGGAGAACGAGGATCTCAGCTTGCATCTCGGGCATATTTCCCGCCACTGCAAGTCCCTGCGGTCGCTCACTCTCGGTTCGCTCTCACTCGCGGCGCCTGCGCTCGAGTCGTGCTTGCGTCCCATGCCCAACTTGCAGGATTTGTCGCTTTCCTGGATCCACCTGACGAATGAGTGCCTCCAGATGATTCTCGACGCGACGCCGAACCTCCGCCGTTTGACGATATTTATGGCGACGGGCTGCCCGCAGATTTCTCTTCGCCTGCCCGCTTCGTTGGAGCATGTCGACTTTGCTTACCTGCGCGCCGAGTCGTGCGCCTTCATCACCGCCTCCTCGCTCAGATCCGTGTCCATTCGCGACATGTTCGTGCGCTCAGTTACCATCCAACAAGCCCCTCGCCTGCGCTACTTCGCCATCGCCAGCGCCAGCCTCCTGGAGGTCTCGGCACCCGAGTCGTGCGAGATCACCACCCTCGATTTGAAAGCGGGTTCCTTCTGTTGGTCCTCTCTACAATCTCTCCTTCGTGGATGCGGCATGGCTCTCAGCTCGCTCGCTCTCGATTTCTTCACCGCGGGATCCGGAGCGCTTTCATCGGGAATATTCTCCCTCTTCTGGCTTGCCGCCATGTGTCCCGCGCTTCGCGCCTTGAATCTCGGCTCGCTGCCGTGGCAGCTCGTCCTCTCCTGGGCGACTACCTCCGGCGCGCTTCAGCCGGCGGCATCCGCGGCGGGATCTGCGGCTCGGTGGCCGCAGCTGGAGGAGTTGAAGCTCAAGGTTCAGGAGCAGAGGCCCGAGGCGCTCCTGCTGCTGCACGCGCTTCTGTCGAATGTGCCAACACTGAAGTCGCTTCAAGTGGCCACTGCAGTCGATGAGGAGGAAGAGGAAGAAGAGGAAGAGGAAGTGGAGGAGGAAGAGGAGGAGGAAGATGAGGAATTTGAGGAGGGAGAGGAGTGTGAGGATGAGTACGAGGAAGAGGAGGTTGAGGAAGCCGAGGAGTATGAAGAAGAATACGAAGATGACGTGGACGAGGATGATTTGATGGAAGTGGAGGAGGGTGCGGAGAGCTCTGACGAGTATGACGACGAGGACGAAAGCATGCCGGTCCGGTCTGGCGGACCTGCCGTTCAGCGTCACATGAGCCGGCAGGAGCTGTTCCTCAAGGGGCTTGTGTGCCTGCAGCAACGATTTTCTGACGTTAACGTCTTCCTGCCGCTGCTCGCTCGCCGGTCTACTTCGTGAACTGGTTTGCCCTAGGATTCTTCTCAAGAAACCTAATTAGATGCATTTATAAGTATACCATTACCATGTTCAATATGTGTTGTACCCTAATCCAGGGTTTGATGGCCAAATTTTCGTTCTTTACTTTGTTCGTTGATATTATAATTTTTAAACACACATTGTGATTTTTAAAATTGTGTATTGTGAAAGCGAAGCTGCTTGTACTGCACAATTGGCATCGTCGAAGCGCGCTAAACGCCCTTCCCCAACTACAAAAACCGTGGGTTGGAGCTCATTTCCCTCCACCCACGTTTCTCTATTTCAAACGGCTCACTCAACATTTCCGCTCACGTAGTCTTTCTCTCCTTCCAAGCTGGCTAGAACAAAATCGCTTCCTAGAGGCGAGTCACCCTCGACTTTACTTAGCGACATTTTTAACTTCAATCGATCAACGATGGCACCGACGACGACACTTAACAACGGGAACTCGTCCAACCCCGCTTCCGACTCCGACCGTAACACCCGCGATTTTGCGGGCGACCGCCGTAACAAGCGCCGGGCAGAAGATGGACCGCCCGCCCCGACTGCAGTGGACGTGCTGCTGGGTGGGCTCGAGGTCAACAAAAGTGCCGACGCCCAGCAGCACCCTTCGGCCCCTGTGGCGCCAGTGGCGCCAGTGGCGCCTGTGGCACCTGCGGCGCAAGTGGCGACGGCAGCTGGCGCAGCACACGCACCTGACGCCGAGCACACGCCAGCACCTGCGGCTGGACCGTCGCGTCAGCGCCAGAGGAGGCGGACTGCGGTCTCCTCGTCTGACGCGACGACCGCCCCTGCACTGACGCAGGCGTTGACCCCGGACCAGGTCAACGCGCTGCTATCCCTTCTACAGCAGCAGCCCGTCAGCGTTACAGCTGCGGAAACTGCACTACCCGCTGCATCTGCGTCGGCTAAAAAAGAAAACGCGAAAAAGGAAAAAGGCACGCGAGGAGCACGTACGAACCGGCATGACAACGACGCAGCGACAGCCGCTCCCCCTGCTCCGGCGGTCGACAACGACACCGACGACTCTGAAGATGAAGCTGGTGAGGCTCCAGTCAACACTGCTAATTTTATTGGCACGGAAAACCTCCCCCCCCTTCCTTCTTCTAACCTCACCTTTTCGGCGGCGACTTTCGTCAACGACTCCGTGCGAGAGCAAGCGGAGCTGCTGGAGGACTTGCGTGCGTACCTGCTGCACGCGGAATACAAGGCGCAGCGAGGCGACTCGGCGGGCGGACTCGAACTCATCTCACACGCGCTCAACCTCATCTCGGGGCGTTTCGAGGTGCTTCAAGTGGAGGACGCTTCCGACTTCCGCACGGCGAAACGCTTCAAACTGTACCAGCAGAAGAGCCTGCTGACCTCTCGACCCTTCAAGCAGGCGGTCGCGGATATGGCTGCAATGGACCGCACGGCAAGTGCATACGCTCGTGTCACCCGCGGCGGAAACAACGGGCCGATGCCGTTCTTACCCAAGCGGGCCCCCCCGCCCACGGCCAATTGTCGTGGGTTTCGGGGCTCGTGCTTCCGCTGCGGCCAGCCGGGTCATGTGGCAAGTGCCTGCCCTAGGAACGGGCATGGCGGCCAAGGACCCGCTCCGGTGGTGTAGGAGCGGGCCAAGGGATTAGGCGCCTTGGGCGCTAGGCACGGTGCACTCTTGAGTGCGGAAACCGTGGGCAGCCCTAGGGGTTTGCGATGGCAAGAGGCCAGCCCTAGTGAAGGGTAGTAATAGGCTTTGGGCCTAGGATAGGGAAGGGGAACAACAACCCCTCGGTCCCATGTATTTGGCCACCCGGTGGGGTGATGAATGCTAGGAAGCATTGCAATGTGTGTTGGTTGATTTAATAAAAAGTTCCTGATTTACTATTTTGCAAAGAGCCTCTAGACACACAGAGGAGGTGCAGAGCATGAGAGAGAGAGAGGAAGAGAGAGAGAGAGAGAGAGAGAGAGAGAGAGAGAGAGAGAGAGAGAGAGAGAGAGAGAGAGAGAGAGAACAAGACAAAGCACGGTGGACACGCATGTCCATGGTTCAAAGCACCAGCCCACATGCACTAAAGGCATGCACAACCACGTCTTACCAAGTGGATGACAAGGCGAGCAAAAAAAAAAAAAAAAAAAAAAAGACCAAGAAGAAGAAGAAGAAGAAGCGTCGGCGCGCGCACGACATATTTGTTGTCCTTTCGATAGATAGGCAATCTCATTCACACCATTGATCAACGATTGCGCGTACATGCACATGCACATGCATGCATCAAATGGAACTCCCAACCCTACCCCATTTGCCTCAATTACAGGAGCACGACAGTGCGAGGCGGTATGTTACGACGACCCGTATGAATTTGCCGTCACGGACAAAACCATTACACAAATGCGCGGTCGACTTCGTGCGACCTTTGCGTGGTGGAGCTCCTGGTGTCCCTGCAGCCTCGTCCTTTCCGTCATCGCCAGGGGTTATTGGCTACCATGGAGCCACGGCCCACCACAACCCTTCCACGATCGCAACCATGTCGGGGCAAACACGCATGCTACGTTCACGCGTACCGCTATCCAAGAACTCCTAGAGACCGGAGCAGCAGTCCAGATGCCCGCAACGGAGCTGACGTGTATAAGTCCACTCAATGTGGTCGAGCAAAAAGACAAATGCAGACTCATTATTGATCTGCGGAAAGTCAACGCAGGCTTAATCGTCCCCAAGTTCAAGTACGAGGGGCTCAACCGCGTGGCGGACCTGGCACGCGTTGGGGATTGGATGTTCTCCATTGACCTTAAATCCGGTTACCACCACATCGACATCCACCCATCATGCTGGAAGTTTCTCGGCTTCGAATTTGGGAGGCGCACGTACGCATTCCGTTCACTGCCATTTGGCCTCGCGACAGCTCCATTCGTCTTCACGCAGCTCATCAAGCAACTGGCTCGGCGCTGGCGAGAACAAGGCATCCGAGTCATCCCTTACGTGGACGACATCTTATTCCTCTGTCAGTCGAAAGACCATGCGCAAGCGATCTGCCAGCGTGTGATATTGGACCTTAAAGAGGCAGGACTCGTGATAAACGCGAAGAAATCACAGCTGTCACCATCGCAACGCCTACGATTTTTGGGTGTAGAGCTGGAAACCGATACCGGTCGATTCTCCATCGGTCCCGACCGACGAGCCTCACTACATGCAACCATCCAAAACCTCCTGAGCGCAAGCAAGGCATGCCGACCAGTCCCGGTCCGCCACGTGGCCAGAATCACAGGCATGCTCGCATCAATGGGGGTCGCACTTGGCGCGACCGCTCGCGCATTCAGCCACGCCATGTTACAAGTAATCAACGACGCACCGTCATGGAAAAGCAACGTGGTCACCCCCCCAGCCGCAGCAGAGGAGCTACACTTTTGGCTTGAGGAGTTCGACCGGTTCAACGGTGCACCTTTCCACGTCCGGAACAGCTACGATGCGGTAATTCATGTGGATGCCAGCTCTCATGGTTGGGGCGCCACTCTAACTACATTTCCGGGTGGCCTCGAAGAAGCGAGCGCAACCATGTCAGAGCCACTACAGGCAACGTCCAGCACGCGGCGGGAGATCGAAGGCGTCCTTTGGGCGCTCCAAACGTACGCCAACAAGATCAAGCAAAAACACGTTCTCGTGCGGGTGGACAACCAGGGCGTATTCTTCATCCTTCGCAAAGGCGGCTCTCACAGCTCTGACCTCACAATGGCTTGCAAAAGCATCATCCGAACATGCATGGGGCTCGGCACGCGCTTGATCATTGAATGGATCCCGCGAGAGCTCAACTCACATGCTGACGAGCTTTCAAAAATGGTCGACCACGACGACTACGCGTTGAAGAAGCCGTGGTTTCGCATCTTAGAACGTCGTTGGGGTCCGCATTCCATCGACCTCTTTGCAAACTCTCACAACACCCAACTCTCGCGCTTTTGCACCAAGATCCCCCACCCGGAAGCCATCGCAGTTGATGCGTTCTCGATCGCATGGACAACCGAAAACAACTTCGCCTTCCCCCCACCCCAACTGGTCCCAGCCGTCCTCCACCATGCACAACGCACCCATGCATCACTCACATTAATAGTCCCGCACTGGCCAGGCGCAAGTTGGTGGCCACTTTTGCAAACCTCCCTATGTACTTGGGCTCCACACATCCACGCGCACATCCCTCTCACACACGGAAGCCAATGCCTAGATACAGGGTCCCATTCTAGTGCCTTCTCGGGCACGGGACTACCGCATAGCCCAATCATTGCACTGCGAGTGGTATTTGACTAATGCATATTGTCCACTCCTGTGTTCAGATTTGCTCCCAAAGTTACACGACCAACTGATCAAAATGCTCGCGCAGTCACGCGCCGATTCTACGATCCGGACATACGAACCATACTGGGCCAAGTTTCGAGCATTTTGCACAAAAGTGAATCTCTCCTTTCTTCCAGCTTCCGACATGACACTCGCACTATACCTGGTTCACGCAATCCGACGCAAAGCCACCCTGTCCGTAGTGCAGCTGACGTGCTCGGCAGTAAGCTTCGCCCATCGCATGACTGGGAACAAATGCCCAACAATCGGTCCGTTTACCACCCAAGTCCGCGACTGTGCAAAACGACACTGCCCCCGCCCTACTCGTCTGAAGGAACCCGTATCGATCCAACAAGTCCGCGACATGGCCGGGAGTTACCTGCAGTCTGACGACCCTGCGGAATTTCAGAAAGGGCTGATCCCCATCCTCATGTACTCAGGATTTCTGCGATACTCCGACCTAGTGGCCATACAATGGCAAGACATCCAATTCGACGAAGAGGTCATGTGGATCCTCATACCACACTCTAAGACCGATCAGGCCGGTCACGGAACATGGATACCCATTGCAGCAACGACAGACCCTTGTTGCCCAGTGCGCTGCACCCGACGCTTCATCCAACTCGCCGGCTATGGTCCTCAGTCAGAGGGACCGTTGATTCGTGTCTTCGGGCACGCTTCA